CAAAGTGCTGGGATTACAGGCGTGAGCCACCGTGCCCGGCAAGTCACATGATTCTTGATGAATTAATTGATTCATGACTTCTTAGACAAAAAAGGAAAGAAGTTCAGAAAATAAATGGCACTAATCGTTCAAATTTTAATTAATAAGAATATGAAACATTTTTCCTAAGCAACAAGGAAAATAATAGTCATATTGGTAGACCTGGAGACACCTGCATTTGATGATGTGAGGAGCGACTTTAGGGCTCAAACATGACACAAAGATGCTCGTGGTTTTATTTGTTCACTTATCCATCTCTCAAACCATTACTGGTTGTTAGTATGTGCTGGGCCCTGGGGAGAGACTGTGAGTTTCCTCAAGGACCTCAGTGTCTAAGGTAAGAGGTAAATCTGTGACCAAATCCTTGTGGTGCTGATGATAATATGCTAGAAGAGCCATCACAGCAATGCTCCAGGTCCAGTAGTAGCCTGACCCACAGTGCAATTGTTTTTATGCACAGATATACTCAAAGGGCCGAGAATCAGCCCAGCATTTGACTGTATTTCCTCTCTCACCAGAGCATTTTCTCCAGGTATATGTTATTACCCCAAATTGTCAACTGACAGCACAATCATGACCTCTACAATGTATTAAAAATGTGAAGTAAGTAGCCAGGGACAGTGGTGCATCACCTATAGGACCCGCTACTTGAGAGGCTCAGCCCAGGAAAATTGCTTGAAGCCAGGACTTCAAGGCTGCCTTGCCCCGTACTATGATTGTGCTTGTGAATAGCCACCACACTCTAACCTGGCAACATAGCTAGATCCTGTCTTTTAAAAAATTAGCCTGGAGTGGTGGTGCACCTGTAGTCCTAGCTACTGTGGAGGCTGAGATGGGAGGATCCTTGAGCCCAGGAATTTGAGGCTGCAGTCAGCTATGATGACACCACTGCACTGCATCCTGGGTGGCAGAGCAAGAGATTGCCTTAAGAAAAACAAATAAATAAAAATAAAAGTTTTAAACAAATCATCAACATATAAAAACTAGTGGCCAGGCACAGTGGCTCATGTCTGTAACCCCAGCAACTCAGGAGGCCAAGATGGGAGAATCACTTGAGGCCAGGAGTTTGAGACCAGCCTGGGCAACATAGAAAGACCTTGTTCTCTACCAAAAAAA